CTCCTGGTTCACAGGAACAGAGTGTGAAAAATGTAACACCCCCCCCCACCCCGACCACAAGTCAGGGAGGGCCCTAGAGTCCAACACTCTACCAGACCCTGGAAGGCCTCCCCACACCCTGAGGCCACTGTGGCCTGGCCCTTCTCACTGAGCTGACTTTCTCCATCCCCTGCCCGGACCGAGCTGGTCATCAGGCTGCCAGCCCTGGGGTCTGCCATGGCAGCCGACTGGAGATGTGTCTTGGGTCCTGGGGACCTCGAGGGGAGACATGACCAGCACTCTAGGGAGGGAGAAAGTTCAGGCGCTTCTGTAAAGCGGATCCTACTAGTCCGGCGCCCGACAGGGGTCCTGTCAGGTCCAGACCCTTCCCAGGGTCACCAGAGCCCTTGGGGACAACCAGAGATAGCAGGAGCAGGACTGGGGCCTAAGAAAGAGGAGAGACGGAGGGGGGGAGGAGAGGGGGAGAGGGTGAGGAAAGGGACCAAAGAAAGAGGGAGAGGGACAGGAGCCCTTGGGGGAGGGGCCCAGCGAAGTGGGGGGGAGCAGGTGGGTGGGAGGGGGAGGAAGTGGAGGTACTGGCCCTAGGGTTTCCTATCCCTACGAAGACAGGGCCCGCGCATGCGCTGAGGACCTGGCAAGGACTGTGAAGTTTTGAGTTGGCACGTTAATGTTTTATTGATTCATTTATGTGATTTTGAGTTTCCCCTTTCTTATCTCTGTGATGGGGATTTTTAAAGGGGACTCTGAGTGGCAAACGGTTAGTGTTAGACGTTTAGCAAAAGGTTGGAGAGTCAAAAACTCACCTGAGATATCTCAGAGGAAAAGCTGGTGATCTGCTTCTGAAAGGGACGCCTTGAAAACCCTGTGAAATCGCTCTGTGCTGCCAAAATCGGGAATCGGTATAATTTGGTAACTGGCAACCACGTAGTGGTTACAAGTCAGGCTGCTAACCTCAGGGTCAGCAGTTCGAAACTACCAGCTGGTCCGCGGGAGAAAGATGAGGCTTTCTGTTCCCGTAAAGATTTACAGCCTCGGAATCCCTGTACAGGGTCGCTATGAGTCGGAACCGACTCCACGGCACATAACAACAACAACACATAACAGGACTGATGGTTTCTGCTGCAGTGCGGGTCGGAGGGACACTCTTACTGGACCAATAGTGAGCAGCCGCGGTTGTCATTATTGTTATTAATTGCCTTGTTAGTCGATTTCCCTCCTGCTCTACACCCTCTCTGGAGTCCTGGTGTGGCGCTCAGACTGCAAAGCCGTTTGAACTGCAAGGTCGACAGTTCAAGTCCACCAGCTGCTCCTCGGAAACCCTATACAGCGTCGCTCTGGGTCTGAATTCATTCGATGGCACTTAACAAAACTCCACCCCCTCTGTGTCTCCAGCCCCCAGCACTTCCTCCATTCCCCAGATGAGTCCGAGGGTCCAAGAGGATCCCTTCCCCCAAATTTGTAGTAAGTAAGCCTGTCTGACGGATTTAAGGAAAGAGCAAAGTTTTGGCCTCGATGAGGAGGCAGGAAGGAGCCGGGACCTCAGCGATGCCAGGGTCAACCTGCGAAGAATCAGAGAATCAGAGCGGCGGCCTAGCTCCCTGCACGGTGGACCGCCGGGGGAGGGCACGCTGTGGCCGTTCCCGCCTCTCCAGGTTCCGGGCTCCAGGGCGCACCCTCTGCGTATTCACCGGGCCACGCGGGGATCCCTGCATGACCCACTAAGCAGTTGCCATCAAGCCAAATCTGACTCGCGGTGACCCTATGTGTTCCAGAGTAGACACTGTGGGGTAATGCACTGGATCCTAAGGTCGGGTCCAATTGCTAGGTCGGCAGTTCAAATTCACCAGCCGCTCCTCCGAAACTCTGAGTCGCAACAGACACCAAGGCACTTAACAACAGTCTTTACCGGATAGCCCTGGTGTCTCCGTAGTTAAATCTTCCAGCTGCTGCTATGGTTGTGTGCAGTTGGAATCGGTTGGACTCATAGTGGCCATGAAGTGGCCATAAATCTTTCTGAAAGCAGATAGCCTCCTCTTTCTCCATGGAGCGGCTGGTAGTTTCCAACTGCTGACCATAACCAGGCCTCGAGTCAAGAGTAGGCAGTTGAAACCAACCAGCTACTGGGAGAAAGATATGTCTGCAGCTTCCATAAAGAGGCAGCTTTCCAAGCCCTATTTGTGGCGCTGTGGGTTAATATGCTGGACTGCAAAGTCGGTTTGAACCACAAGGTTGGGGATGCAAGCTCACCAGCTGCCCCTCGGAAACCCTACACAGGGTCCTTGTGGGTGGGAACCGACTTGACCTCACTTAAAAAAAAAAAAAATTGTTAAGTGCCATTGAGTCAGTTCTGACCCATAGTGACTGTAAGAAAAAGAAAGAAAGACAGAGTCTTAGCTTCAACAGCAGGCAGGTTTATTGAGAGTAAACCTGGGAGGGTTTACAGACTGGAGTATTTATAGTCCGTGTGGTCTGGGTATAGTTCTGGCGAGTTTACAATGGGCGGGGATATGGAGATTTGGACAGGGGTTTGGAGATTTTCCTGAAACCTGGAATTTCAGTGGGGGAGGGTCTCCAGGTGTAATAAAGACCTAAGCTTCCCCGGAGATCGGAAGCTCAAGCAGGCCCATTTAGTGTCATCTGAGGTAGTTGCAATGCCATTCTGTTGATCAGGCACAGCAAAGACCTTCAGTGACCCTTCCCTCTACAGGGTTGCCAAGGAGCAGCTGGTGGGTTTGAATTGCAGCCTGATGGTTAGCAGTCTAATGCTTGTCCTACAGGGCCACCCCGGGACTCCGTAAGGCAGTCTGTCCTGTTCCACAGGGTCCCTATGAGCCGGAGTCTTTACCAAAGCCGATTGTCTGACCTTTCTGCTGCACCTCACAATGAATTCCAACGCCGATCTGTAGGTGGTTGGTGTGTGCTGTGGAATCAGTTCCGACTCATATCAACTCTATAGGGTTTCCTAGAGCAACTGGTGGGTCTGAACCACCAACCTTGCAGTTAGCAGCCCAGTACTTATCCTGCAGGACTTCATCTTTATGTTAGTGTTGTTGTTGTTGTTGTTGTTAAGTGCCATCGAGTGGGCTTGGACTCCTAGCGACCCTGCATAGGGTCCCCGAGGAGCGGTTGGTGAGTTTGAACCACCGACCTTGTGGTCCAGTGCATTAGCCTGCAGCGTCACACCAGGCCTCCTCCACAGGACACAGGAGACTGCCCTACTGGGTTTCCAAAGCTGTCATTTTTACCGAAGCAGTCTGCCACATCTTTCTCCTGAGCAGGACAATGCTTAACCCACTGTGCCACCAGGGCACCTTAGAATATTCCCGGAACCCCTCAATTGCAAAACTTGGAGGAGGCGGGAATCCACTGTGAGGGATGGGAATGCTAGTCTTATTTGGGATGAAGAGGAGAACAGAACTGAATTGGTCGGTACCAATTAAACAGCTGTATAACTGTGTAGTCTCCCTGTTTCCTCTACCTCCTGTTATGGGAAATGCAACCGTGCATATAGGGAAGAGATGGGGGAGGAGAAGATTTCTCCAGTTCTTACTCTCTCACATCCCAAAGCAGGGATGAATACTATACTTTTGAGATATGAACCCTGTTTAGGGGAGCAGTAGGGGCTCTGGAAAATTGATTTCTTTGCAGGGATGATAAAACTGCTTTCTTGGCAGGGAAACAAAGTGATGGGCATCTTCAGTTTGTTTCCCTCCTACCCGGACACCTGAAGCCCAATCAGTAAACCTTTTCTGACTGGAAAGTCCTTTGGAAAGGGAACTATTTGGAGGAGGGGCTTTCAGTTTTAAAGAAAGAGTTTGGGGACCCCTAGACAGCACCTGGTGTGGTGTTCTGAGTTAATGCACCAGACTGCAAAGCCGTTTGAACTGCAAGGTTGGCCGTTCAAGCTCACCAGCCACTCCTCAGAAACCCTATACAGGGTCGTTATGGGTCGGAACCGACTTGATGGCACTTAACAACAACAACATGACAGCACCTAGAGAATTTTTGAAATTGGAAAAGTCCAAATAGAAATACTTCCCTTGATGCTTCTTCTCTTTTCTCTGAATTTGGATTTTAGACGTCTGATACTTTCTTGAGCAAAAAAAGTATTACTTTCCCCCTTTTTCTCTACTAAATATTGGCCAAATTGATATCTAATCATCTTCCAGCTTGATCAGGAGAAAAATCAAAGTCTTTAGAAAGATGGAAAAGAAACAGAAGATATTTCATCCAATTCTTAACTCTTTTAGAGTTTTCATAATAAATACCGGCAGCTTCCTAGTTTACAAGCCAGAATTGCATCCGTTCAAAATAGTCAAAATTAGGTTAGCTATGTTAAACATGGCTTGTTTTCAGATTTCCATAATGAATCTGAATTGTGTTGTGTGTGTGTGTGTGTTTAAAGAATTGTTTAATTCGCAGGAAGAATATGACAGTTTCATTTAGAAAGCGAAGAATAAGAAGAGAAAACGAACGATGGAGTATGGTGGTATGTCACGTTTATTTCCTTTCTCTTACTAGCTTTAGTTTGACACCTTTCGGTGGAAGACCTCAGCCGATACACAGACTAGAAAATGAGCGCTCCGACATCCAACAGTCCACATTTACATATAATCTCAGGTTGACACAAAGGGCAAGACGTATGTATTTCGCACTGGGTTTGGGAATGAAGAAGGGGGACATTGCACTGGCTTCATTTTTTTTTGCATACCAGAAAAGAAGACTCAGGGAAACCCGGGAAAAGTCCCAACTGGCGGCGGAAAACGAAAAGGTGAGCCGAGAGGCGCTCGGAAGTTTACAATCCGGTGGTCCTCAAGACCACCGAATCCAACTTTTCGTTTGTAAACGTTTTGCAGCGACCTGAAACCGTGCGCTCTTCAGCTCCTGGCGGGGCAAGTGGAGCACGAGCAGCAGGCGCACTACCAGCCTTGGGGACCCAGTGACGCCGGCCACTCTGCCGCCAGGCTCCAGGTGCGCCCTGGCCCCGCGCGTGGTGCTATTTAGAAGGCCGGCGAGGTCCCGTCTCGGTCGGCAGGGGCCCCGAGCGGACACCCCAGCTGCGCGCCTTTGGCGGGAGCGCAGACAGCGTCGCGGTCTTGCTGCCCTGCAGCCTGGCTGGTGGCGGCGGACACCTGCAGCCAGGGCGCCGAAGCCCGGGAGGGAGGCAGCAGGTGGCAGTAGCCCCAGGGGGCGGGGGGCAGACCCTGCGCGGCACCCCCGGCCCGGACCCCTTGCAGGATGCTGTCGATGCTGAAGGATGTGCACCCGCCCCCGGGCCGCGGCGCCCTGGCCGCCCCCCAGGTCCGTGGGGGTGGCGGGAGCAGCAGGTAGTGGAGGGGGTGCGGCTGCAGCAGCGAGGTGGCGGCGGGGTAGGGTCCCGGGGGCGGCGTGCAGGCCGGGGGCGCCCCGGGAGGCGGCTGGGCGCGCTTGAAGCGCTTGCGGCGCCGGAGGAAGCTGCCATTGTCGAACATGTCCTGCGAGGCGGGGTCCAGGCTCCAGTAGCTCCCCTTGCCCGGGTGGCCCGGCTCCCGGGGGATCTTGACGAAGCAGTCGTTAAGCGACAGGTTGTGGCGGATGCTGTTCTGCCAGGCGGGGAAGCTGCGGCGATAGTAGGGAAAGCGGCCGCGGATGAAGGCGCAAATGCCGCTGAGAGTCAGGCGCTGGCGCGGGCTCTGCAGGATCGCCATGGTGATGAGCGCGATGTACGAGTAGGGGGGCTTCGCAGGCGCTGCGGAACTGGCCTGAAACTCGCCGCGGGGCTCAGAGGCGGCGTCCTCGGTGCGCTCCCGGGGCCGGCTTCCGTCGGCCTCCTCCTGGTCCTCGTCCGTCCCCAGGACGTCCACCTCGCCGTCTTCCCCGTCGGAGCCCGGGAGTTGCTCGGCTCTTGGCAAGTCCATGGAGAAACTGGTCGTGGGGACGCGAGCGAGGTGGCTGGCGGCTGCTCACCTGGGGTGTGCGCCCAGGCTGGGAGAAGGACGCCCCCAGGAGATGTTTACTGACTTGTGTCCAGCACAGTCCAGCACTGACGCGCACGTTGGCCTGTCTAGACTCTCCTGGAGTGGTCGGGTCTTCTCTTTACGTTCTTCTCTAACTTCCACGCATTGTCCCCACGCCCCCCTCCCCACGATGTCCAACGCTGTATGTCCGCTGTGCACACCCTCCACCGGGAGCGGAAAAGACCTGGGCCCCTCCTCTACTCCCCCCGCCCGCACCTCTGCCCCACCCCCACCCTCAGCAAGATGCTGTTGGGGCTCAAGCTTGCCCAGCCAGTCAGGGTCCCCGCGTGGCACGGGCTCTGCTAAAGCTTTCTAAATGACAAAAAAAAAAAAAAAAAAAGCTGGGAAAATATGGAATTCAACAATGAACCCGCACCTCCATATGCAGACCCCTCCTGGGAGTACAGATACTGGGGAGGGGGCATGGAAATGTGCCCACGGTTTGGCTGTGTGGTTTCCGGTTTCCCAGATGGCTCATAACCCATTTCCATTGGTGGCTTCTGTATTTTGAGTTTTTCTTTGTATCCCTGAGCCTGGGGGTGTTGCCATCTTCTGCCCCCGCTCCCCTAAATCCTCTCCCTGACTCGTGTTGTGGCGTTGTCGAGGTGTGGGGAACACTGAACCATCACATCCTGCAGTTCTACACGTGTGTAGCTAAAATGGGCTTCACCAAAGGGTATACAGTAGAGAGGGTCTTCAAAAAGTTCGTGGGAAAATGGAATTAAACGAGAACAGAATTTTCCCATGAACTTTTTAAAGTTCCTTCATATCATATAAAAATTGATTTCGCCAAACACTCACTAATGTGTAGGGACCCAGTTTGAAAATTCCTGTTTGCCCTACAACTTTTTTTTTTACTTTGATCTTCTTCTTTCTTTTGAAAAAAGCCAAAGTTAAGCACTTTTACGATAATAATTATGATGCTTGAAACTGAAGTGAGGCAACGGAGGCTGTCAGTGACACACTAGGCAGGACAGCAAGCAGTATGACACGGTAGCTCTTGAACTAGACCTGGAGGTTGATGTCAGTTACAGGGGACCAGAGACCACAGTAGCAGCACAGAACAAGGTTACATGAACAGGGATCTTATGATGTCAAAAGATTCCTCTTGGCACAAAAGGCTGAGTGCTTGACAATTAGTCTAAAGGCTAGCTCTTCAGACCCACCCAGAGGTGCCGTGGAAGTAAAGACTTGGTGCTCTGCTTCCAAATGGTCCTAGCTTTGAAAATCCTAGGGGGCATTCTACTCAGCTCACCTGGGGTCACCATGAGTCAACTCTTGACAAGCAGCAAGAGCAGTGGTTAAATACTGGCCAAAGTACGTTTTTCTAACTCAAAGCCCTCCTGCTTCTGGAAAGAAGTTGAGATGGCACCTAACAAAATTGCAGTGACAAAAGGAAGCTATATCAGAGGCCGTTGGTAGCCACATAGTGAATCTTCCATCCAGGTTTGTAAAACGACAATGCATTTGTAGTGAGAAACCTCAAAGCCAGCTCAAAGCACAAAACGGAATATTCTTTTCACGTAGCCAGTGCCTCGGAAAAAGCAGCTTTCTAGAGAGCTTGTTCTGAAGCTTTTCCCCTCTGCTTCTCAGAGTTTGCTCCCATGAGGCTCCCAGATACGTGCTGGTTGGAGCAGCACAAACCCTGTTCAGGAGAGCGGTAGGGTCTCTGGAAAATTGCTTTCTTTGCAGGGATGATACTGTGATGGGCCTCTTCACTTTGTTTCCCTCCTACCAGTGTACCTGATGCCCAATCAGCAAAAACTAACAGGTGTCCGCTGGGATGCTACACTTCCCAGTGGCCACTTGTGTGATGGACATGGGATGGGCTTTGTGTCCCTGGTGTCCCCCCCCTCCAAAGACAGGTGGGGGGGGGACACATTGCTCCCATTAACATAGGGGTCCGTCACCTGAGAAAGGGAGGCCTGTCAGTTTTCCTAGCCGTCAACATCTCTGGGAATTTGGATTATTTAAAATTGAAAGGACAGAATTTAAGGGCATGATAAAAACACAAATTAAATCTCACAACAAAAGAACCACATTGATGTGCACCCTACATCCTTGGGAGGGACTTGAGTTCCCAATAGCCAAAGATGGAGGCATTTGAGCAACAAAGTAATTATCACCGAATGATAAAATAATATCCATGAGCCCATAATGATGCGCATAAAGGAGTGAATTTGAGAAATGAGGCCACCTTCTCGAGCAGAAGAAATCCAAAGAGGTACCGGAGACCCTCCGTCCTAAGGGAGCATGACAGAGACTGAAATTTGTTCCCCAAAATTATGTGTCAGCTCGGCTGGGCCAGGACCCTGCGAGGTGGCAGTTCTGTGACTGTCCCCCAGGATGTCATCTGCTGTGATCAACCAATAAGAGGATGAAGAGTGGGAGGCACCACCCTTGGAGTCCTGGTGCGGTGCCTACGATAAACATGTAACCACAAGGTCGGTGATTCAGGCTTACCAGCCACTCCTCAGAAACCCTATATAGAGTGGTTCTGGGTCAGAACTGACTCAACAGCACTTAACAACACCCTAAGAGCCCTGGTCTGGTGCTATAGGATAAGCACTGAACTGCTAATGGTTAAGGTCATCAGTTCAAATCTACCAGCTGCTCCTTGGAAACTATACGGCATTGCTGAGTTGGAACCTCCATAAGGACACAAGAACACAGGGGCGGGGGTGTGCCATGTGTGCTGTGGGGTCGGTTCTGATCCATAGTGTATAGGTTTTCCGAGGCTGTGAATCTTTATGGGAGTAGAAAGCCTCATCTTTCTCTTGTGGAACAGCTGGTAGTTTTGAACTGCTGACCTTGCGCTTAACAGCCCAACTTGTAACCACTACACTACCAGAGCTCCTTCTTAAGGACACTACCACACTTAATTCCATTCAGGTGTGACATGCCACCACCCTTAGTCCCAGGGGTTTGGACTGCAATACCTTTTATCTTACAAGAGATCAAAGGAGAGAGAAGTGACCAGAATTAGAAGGACCGACTACCACCAAGCAAGAAGAGCTGGCAGGGGATGTGTCCTTTGGACCTGGGGTCCCTGCCCTGTGAAGCTCCTAGATCCAGGGGAAGACTGATGCTAAGACACCTGGGGATCTCCAAGGAACGCTGGACCCGCAGACACTGAAAGGAAAAAAGAACTTTTCTCCAGAGTCAGTGCTTGAATGTAAACTAGCAAAAGGGAATGGAAGAAATGAGGTAAGAGCTGAACAGAAAATTCCAAAGTTCAGCTCAAGAAGACAAAGTCAAGTATTATAACGAAATGTGCAAAGACCTGGAGTTAGAAAACTGAAAGGGAAGAACACGCTCAGCATTTCTCAAGCAAAAGAACTGAAGAGAAAAAGTCAAGCTTTGACTTGCAAAATTGAAGGATTCTATGGGCAAAAACATTGAATGATACAGGAAGCTTGAAAAGAAGATGGAAGGAATAGAGTCACCAGACAAAAAACCACTGGTTGACATTTGACCACATCAGCAGGTAGCATGTGATCAAGAACTGATGGCATTGAAGGAAGAAATCCAAGCTGCACTGAAGGCATTGGTGAACAACAAGGCTCCCTCAATGAACGGAATACAGATTTCAATGATTCATCAAATGAAGCTGCACGGAAGGCATTGGTGAACAACAAGGCTCCCTCAATGAACGGAATACAGATTTCAATGTTTCATCAAATGAAGCTGCACCGGAGGCACTCACTCATCTGTGCCAAGAAATTTGAAGACAGCTATCTGGCCAACTGACTGGATGGGTTCCCTATTTGTGTCCATCAAAAGAAAGATGACCCAACAGAAAGCAGAAATTATTGAATAGCCTTAATATTACACACAAGCAAATTGTGAAGATAATTTTTAAATGGTTGCAGCAGCAGATCTACAGGGAACTACCAGAACCTCATCTGGATTCAGGAGAGAGTGTGGAAATAAGAGGCAATGTGCTGATGTCCGTTGACTGTGGCTAAAAGCAGAGAATGTTTTGTTGATCATGTAAACACATTCAACGGTGTGACTCACAGTCAATTGTGGAGGAAGGACATGGTTGTCATGGAGTTGCGCCCCTCCCCCCAAATATGTCAACTTGGCTGGGCCATGATTGTTAGTGGATTGTGACTCAGTGGTACCTAACAATATGGCAAGTTCCAGAGTTTCCCAGAGGAGCGGGTAGAACCTGGATTTTGATCACTGGAAGAGTTCACCTCAGAAAACAGAATGTAAACCTCCTGGTGGGTGACTACATATAAAGGAAGTATTTCTAGGGACAGACATTGAACTTCTATTAGCTTGCCATTGGACTGCAAACCACGAGATCAGCAGTTCAAACCCACCAGCTGCTCCCTGAAAACCTTATACAGGGTCGCTATGAGTCGGAACTGACTTGATGATACTTAACAAGAAATGGCTGGGGTCGAAGGGGAAGGGTTTAGTCGGACCAAATTAATCTGCCATGTTGGCACTTTTACCACCTAAATGTTCTCATGTGATACTCATGCAGTGAAACACGTAAAGGTGAATTGAATGCTTTTAAAAGACAAGACAAATAGGAGTTTTATAAAGACACTTAAGCCTCCTTCTCAGTTTTGGGGGTGGGTCATGACAGTAACTTATCTTGGTTGTCTGCCGAACGTCCCAGGTGACCCCTGCCCAAGTGAATCCCAAGAGTCCCACCCCTTGGGAAGGTCCCTGGATTCTTGCTGGATTTACTCACCAGTCTCTGCCAGTCATGAGGGTCACCACTGGATTGCAATCAGCCCTAGCCCGTTCTTCAGTGATGGTAGCATAATGCCATCACAGTACCAACATACTTGAGATCTGTCCCACGTCAAAGTGTCTGCTAACCAAACTATGACAGTAAGCCAGTGAATTCAAGTAATGTTGAGGCAGTACAGTGACAGTTAATTGGGACCCTTCCTGATAGCGTAGTGGTTATGATTCGGGCTGCTAACCTCAAGGTCAGCAGTTTGAAAGTACCAGCTGTTCCGCGGGAGAAAGATGAGGCTTTCTGCTCCCGTAAAGATTTACAGCCTCAGAAACCCCGTACAAGGAGGGTCACTATGCGTCGGAACCAAGTCCACAGCACACGACCACCATCACCACCTACTGAAATTAAACTGGTTGCCTCTTTTCTGAGACTTTCATTGAGAAAAAGGTATTTGTAACATGAGTCAACTTGAAGACTAAGGTGTGCCTGACCCAAGCCATGGTATTTTCAATAACCTCATATGGATACGAAAGCTGGACAGTGAATAAGGAAGATCGTAGAAGAATTGATGCCTTTGAGTTGTGGTGTTGGAGGAGAATACTGAAAGTGCCATGGACTGCCAAAAGAACCCATCAATCCGTTTTGGAAGAAGTGCAGCCAGAGTGCTCCTTGGTGGCCAAGATGGCTAAACTTCGTCTCATACTTTGGACATATTGTCAGGAGGGAACAGTTGCTGGAGAAGGATATCATGCTGGGTAAGATGGAGGGTTGGAGAAAAAGAGGAAGACCCCCAATGAGATGTATTGGCCAGGTGGCAGCATTGACGGACTCAAGTGTGGCAACGGTAGTGAGGTTGGCTCAGGAGCGGGCAGTGTTTCATTCTGCTGTGCATGGGGTCACTATGAGTTGTTGCTGACTCAATGGCATCTGACAACAACAAAAGATGAGTTACTGAGTACCATCCTCCTTGAACCTGCTGTATTTTCTACTGTTGGCAGATACTATGTCTGGAACAGCTGAAGTAGGCACAGGTGGCACTATTGGGGCCCCAATAATTTATTGTCAAGGAGCCCTGGTGTGGCATTGTACAAGAGAGACTGGACTGATAAGCACAAGGTTGGTGGTTCAAACCCTTCAGTCACTCCTTAGAAATTCGATACAGGGTCACTACGAGTCAGAACTGATTCAATGGCACTTACCAATAATCTGTCAACTTCCAGGAGCCGGCTACCTGTTTCACGGGCCATAAAGGGCTATGATACAGAGAACGTGTTGACATCAACACTGCAGCCTTTAGCATGTCTTTAATCAAAGCAGGAAGCTCCTTTTTGTCCCCAAGTATCATATGCTGCGTCGATGAATAACTTGAGTGGGCTCAGGTCATTCTGGGGGCTTTAATCAGCACGTCCATTACTGGTCTATGGACAGACGTACATGCCATTCACTTGTATGATGTCAAGTAGCGGCTGTGTTCCTCTATTTGACAGACTAGCCATACCAATAATGCACTCAGGTAAAGGAGAGGCAACTATGTAAAAATTGTAAAAAGCAAAAACTGACACTTTTGCTTTGAATTCTGAGTGAGCTTTCAGGCATCCTAGGACCGGAAGTGTCCACATCCCTCAGAATAACCTCCAGGACTGAAAGTTAAAAGGAGCACAACGGCTCTGTGGGGTAAGCGCTGGACTGTGAACCGCAAGGCCGGCCGTGTGAGCCCACCAGCCACTCCAAAGGAGAAAGAGGAGGCTTTCTGCTCCCGCCAAGAAGTGCAGCCTCGGATTCCTCTACAGGATTGCTACGAGACAGAATGGACTTGACGGCACTTAACAATCGACAATTAAAGACGTTCAAACCCACGGGAGTCAGCCTCTCTCGTTGGCACCCCCTGAACGCATCACAGAGTGAATGGCCAAGTCATCCTTACAGAGTTTCGGAACGCTCCGCGATGACTCAACAGTGTTTCACTTCTCTGATTCCCAGCTCCTCCACCTGCCGTTTCGAACCACAGGAAACTTTTAGGTTAATTTAATGAAATGATGACATTATTTTATTCATGCAATTTAATTGCTACTTCGATGCAAGCAGCTGGAGTTCTAGCTGAAGGGTGCTGCTGAGACACCCCTGGGTGTCAGGAGGAATAGTCTCGGTCACTCCCACAGGTGAGCACTCGAGCAGACCTGCACTCCAAAGTCCGCTCTGGAAGATGATTTTTAGGAAACACATGTCTTAAAAAGAAAACAACCACCTCCAAAGCTGTTACACTTTGTGGCAGGAATCCCGACTTACTGTCTTGGATGTTGCTGTTGTTAAGTGTCAACAAGACAATTTGGACCCACAGTGACCCTGTATAAGGTTTCCGAGGAATGGCTGGTGAGCTTGAACTGCCAACCTTGTTGAACCTGACCTTGCAGTCCAGGACTCCATCTTGGAGGTAGTGTATCAAATAAACACCTCAAATCAGATACTGAATTCATAACAGAAATAAGGCACAGACACAGAGGCTTGGGTGTCCACACTCGGCAGGAGCCATGGCCCTGTTGTTTATTGTCCAGCCCTTTCCCTAAGACAAGCTTCTGTTCTCACAGACAGACTGGACCTTCCTTGCAATGTGATGGCTGCTGCTTTTCTGTTTCCACCACCGTAGCCAGAAATAGTTGTTTCAGGATGTCCTTATCCAAATTCTTACCTGCAAACAGAAAACAGGGTGACTTTATACTTACAAAGCTGATAGAGTGTACTCAGCAACTCTGGTTCATTCGGTGTTGAATGATCTTCTCACATCTACAGACACAATGGTTGGTAACTCAGGGAGTCCTTCCCTGCCTTTCTAGCTGAGGCCCTCGGAGCCCAAGGCTTGAAGGAAAATGCCACATGGCTGGCCTGTGACTGGCATCACGTGAGGAGAACAAACGTGTGGAGGACTGAAAGGGGAACTGCGAGGGGCTCACACACTTGGCTTCAGGGTAACCCTTTGTAACGCACCGATGAAGACCAGTCTGTTTGTCCTCCCGGTGTTGCTGTCCCAGCTCACGGGGGTCTCCTGCAGGTCATAGAGCTCGTGCACGCCCTGGACAATCACTTGCTGGGCTCTGTCGCTGAGGGATACCAGACCCTGCTCCGGGGACAGGAGATAGCCGGCCTTAGTTTCAGTTTAAAAGTAGAAATACAATATTAGCGCTAATTGTTTCATTATTTCTAGTCCGTTTTCCTTCCCAAATTGAGGAACATTCACAATCGAAATGTCAGGGAAAAAACCACCCATGAGAAGAGTTGTCACTGAGCCGCCTCAGACTTCCGGTGACCCCATGGAAGCCAGACTGCAGCTGTGCTTGTAGGGTTATTTTTTCACTGTTTTTTTTTATATATATAAATAATCCTTTTTTGCATTTTTAGTGAAGATTTACACAGCAATTCGGTTCCCACTCAACAATTTCTCCACAGGGTTACGTGGTCAAGGTCAAGGTGCATGAATGTTCTCAATGTGTCTCTGCTGCTGGTTCATTTCCATTCATTTTGTTTCTCTGCCTTCTTGTTTTAAAACAATGTTGACCATTATTCCCGTTCCGTTTTAAAACAGAAATTCAAAGAGAAGAGGCTGCAACTGTGACTTCATTCCAATTATTTGTGTGTTAAAGAAACAGCTCCCTAAACGTGGCAGCCCACATTTAAACAAGGCTTCCACGGTTAGGCACCCTGATTTCTAACGAGGAAACTAACACCCATCCCAGGGTTCTGGCAGTGACATTACCAGAACAGAACAAAACAGCAGGAAGATACAACAGGCTCCGTGTCAGGCTCTACAGACGGTTCTTCTTCTCTTAAGGTTGTGCACTTGTTTCACAGGGATTGTGGGAAAATCCGCGAAGTTAAAAGAGTGTAGTTACAATAAATGGATCCAACAGTAAAGAGATAAAGAAGAAAAGTCATAATATTTCTCCGCATGCAAGGTGATTTCACACTGATGTGCAGGAAATTATCTGATAAACTGACTCCTATGGGGTGAAGGGGAGGCCTGGTGGTGCAGTGGGGTAAGTACTGGCCTGCTAGTCAAAAGGTGGGTCTGGAGAAAGGCAACTGGCTTCCACAGAGATTTATAGCCTTGTGAACCCGATGAAACAGCTGTACTCTGCCCTTGAGAGTCATTACGAGTCAGAACCAATTAGACAACAGTGGGTTTTTCATGAGACGAAATTAATTTCTCTGAAATCCGTCTGTTATAGCAGCTGCTATAGGCTAAGTACTGGGCCGCAAGGGCATCAAGTCCATATACAGGGTCACTATGACTTGGAATCGACACAATGGCACTCACAACAACAACACAGAAGCCCTGCTGGGGCTGGGGGATAAGTGCTGGATTGAGAACCATAAGGTTGGTGGTTCGAGCCCACCAGCCACTGCACAGGAGACAGATGAGGCTTTCTGCTCCCACACACATTGACAGTCTCAGAACTCAGTGTCGAGGGAAGCAGTAGACTTCCAGCACAGACACGGACATGTGTGTGGAGCTCTACTTGGTGTCGAGTACTGAAGTGCCGTCCAGTTGGTCCTGACTCACAGCGACCCTGGACAGGGTTTCTGAGAAGTGGCTGGTGGGTTTAAACTGCTGGCTTTGAGGTTAGCAGTCTGGTGCTTATCCCAGACACCAGGACTCCAGATAAATGTCCAGTGTGCATCAAATGCACGACTCAACAGGTGGGACGGTTCCGGGGCAGCCAGACTCGGTGGTCTCACTGTTAACGAAGCTGTCCTGGAAATATCTGACCCAGAAGCAGACAGCCTCATTTGTCTCCCAGAGAGGATGGTGGGTTCAAATGGTCAACCCTGAGGTTAGCAGCCCAACACCTAACCCACTGTGCCACCAAGGTTCCGTAAAAAGACTTTGTTGTTGTTATGTGCCGTGGAGTCAGTTCTGACTCACAGCAACCCTGTACAGGGTTTCTGAGGCTGTAAATCTTTACAGGAGCAGAAAGCCTCATCTGTCTCCCATGGAACAGCTGGTAGTTTCAAACTGCTGACTGTGAGATTAGCAGCCCGATTCATAACCACTACGTGGACTATGAAACCAGCTATGGCTACCAGAGGCCCAGAAAGACGCTTTGTTTGTTTGTAGGGTGCAGCGTGCAGCTGAGTGAGGGCAGACCCACCTTCAGGCGGATGATCTCCATGCACTGACCAGCTTTGTCCTTCACACTCTTCTCCCACAGCAGGTCCTGTGTCGGGGTAGCACGGAATGAGACCCCCACTGCTCAGGGCAACACGCACGCCACAGAACAGTCGAGGCATCTTTAATGGTTACAAAGGGCATTCACCTGCACAAACACATTCAGACTTTCTTCCTTTGCGTTTCCCGGAACTTCAAATGTGACCGTCATAATATTCTGTAACCAGGAGACACAGTGATTACTGTTTAAGAGGGAAAGGAGGGACACACTTCACGACAGCCTGCGCAGCCTGCCCACACCGCTGTATGACCCTGTCTCTGCCGTGATGCCAGCCTGGGGCATCAGCAGCTCCGTCAGAGTGAGTCGATGCCCTGCTGTTTACTAGGTAACCCTCGAGAGGTTGCCACATGACCCGCTAGGGGGCTTATCCTTCCCAGAGTCTCAGGGATAAGGGGAAGTGACACACGCGCCGTCGTTGTGTCTCTGTGCTGAGTCAGGTATGGGGACACAGCCCCTCCCTGCATCTTTCCACTCCCTGTTCTCTGTGGGGGACCAAGGTACCTGTGTCTGGTTTAGAGAGGGCAGGAGCCAGGGGTAAACCACAAATCCAAGTAGAATTCTACTCTCATGGAAAAGACAAATACAAAAGAAATGTCCTGCTCATCATAACCGACCCCGTCTGTCCCACGAGGTGGAGCACTCCAGGGCAAGAAGAGTGGCCATGGAACCATGTGGGGTTTCGGAAGGTCTGCTGTTGTTTACAGACCAGGGATGCAGACATTATTGCCCCCTTGCCTCCTCCCCCAGCCCCGGCAGACCTCTCCATCTCCACATAAGCAGAAATAGAGGATTTCCCCTGACAGGTCACACGATGAGGATCCCAAAGCTGGCACCACCGAGTCCGTTCTGACTCACAGTGACCCGAGACAGGGCTTCCCGAGGCTGTCAGTCTTTACAGGAGTGCCCGTGCCAGGGTAACCCCATCTTCACCCTTCACAAAGAAAACCCACTAGGGGTGGCAGAGCAGAGTGGAAGACGGAGGAAAACCCAGTAGGGGCGGCCGCTTACCAAATGCACTCAGAGACCAGCTAACGGCACACGCCACGAGCCAATTCCAGCACGAACAGTACTGACCCTTGGCACACACCATTGCTGGAAGGGAGGAGGTAAAGCTCAAACAGCGGGAGTCTCCACTCGGCCCCTAAACTGGAACTGGAACTATCCAGTGGGATAAACCCGAACCAGCGCACTCTGCTCTTCAAAGGTGGGTTTTTCTAAGTGGAAGTGGCTCTGCAGGTTGAGCACTGAACTGTGAATCACAAGGTTGGTGGTTCGAGCCACCAGCCGCTCCACAGGAGGACGACGAGGTGTTTTGCTCCCACAGAGATGCACAGCCTCGGAAAGGCTATACAGGGTCCCTCTGAGTCACAACCACCTCAGCGGTACTCCCAGAATGGTCACAGTAGTGAGCACCTAGACACAATGACACGACTTCCGCGGTTCACTGACGCGTCAGTACAAAGAACACCCGAGTGATGGGTCCTGTCACATGGCAACAGGGAGGATGACCACCCGCTCCGTCCAGTCCATTCTGACCGCAGTGACCCCAGAGACAGAGTAGAACTGCCCCATGGAGTCCCCGAGCTTCACTCTTCAGGAAAGTCCACAGTCGCATCTGTTTCCCACAGAGTGGCAGGTGGGTTTGAACTGCCAACCTTGCAGTGCCACCAGTGGGTTAAGATGATCTCAAAAGCATTTGAAATTTGAAAATTTCCACACAGTTCAAAAATACCTTTTTGGAACAAGTTTTAATAATACACCACTAACAATGCCCACTTAAAGAGAAATCACTTTCTGAAGATTTAAAATGCGTTTTACCTGGTCCAGGTGAGGCTGGGTTGCTGACGTATGTTGAAGCTTTTCCTGCAAACTGAGAAAAGTGGGTTAGAGGTTCGGGCGGCAGACACTGCTGGCGTCACCTGAGTCAGCAAGACGGGGGACCGGTGACGCAGGCCGGAGACCGCGTCCCAGGGGCTAGTCTGTGACCGATTTCACTGCTGCTCACAGAGAAGAGCTGCCCAGGTACATGCATAGATTGTTGTTGTTGTTAAGTGCCGTCGAGTTGGTTCTACCCCACAGTGACCCTGTGTAGGGTTTCCAGGGGGTTCAAGCCGACCTTGTGGTCCAGATTATACATGTAATAAAGTCAGAAACTAGCCTTGTAAGCATACTATTTTGTGTGGTTAAATATGCTACTAGCTTGGTTTTTTTTTTAATTCCAATGGGTTTAATACCAGCTTTAAATATATATATATTACAGAAGTATTTGAGTTCTGTTCAAAATGGCATCAAGTTGCCTCAGTCTCCCTGATAATGAATATAAGTAAGGCCAGTACCTTATTACGAGGTCATCCCTCACGCATACCTCCTTACTGGAAGACCAATCACACCCCCATTTAATCGGCCTCTACAGCGTTAGATCCCAGCTAAGAGCAAACAGAAAGAGTCTCACAGATGCCTGGTTCTGGTAAGAAAAGCTGAGATCACCGTGGCCTAGCCAGCTTCTGTACTACCAAGTGTAGAGCATCCAGACAGAGCGTGGAGGGGGGCTGAAGACCCCGCAGATGGTTTGCCTTGAAGAGCCGTGATGTGAGGGCTTGGCCAGGAAAGAGTCAGGCTTATAGGGATTGCTGGGGGGTGGGACTCACAGGGGGGTCTGCGAGGGAAGAATGTCAAAGTGAAATCCCTCCCAGCTGGCAGAGGCCTTCTCCACACGGGTGGGGTCACGTTCTGCAGCCCCTTCCTCAAGTGTCACTAATGCATTATAGCTGCTCTCCAGAAACTGTGGGACCGGAGGTGTACACGGCACGGGAAACGCTTCCCGACGCTTATGTAAGCTAGTTCCCAGGAAGTTCCAGAATTCTCTGAGCCCCAGGATGCCCTTCCTTTGTTGTCTACTCTACAGGGGGGGCGGGGGGGGGGCCCCCCCGCCTACACCACTGAGACCAGAATCCAGGAGTCGGATCCCAGCGCTGCTCTGGTGGTCGTCTGACTTGTTTCCACTAACCCAGGGTTCCCAACTGAAGGAGAGAAAAGCCGTGGTGGCCCAGTGGGTCAGGCACCGGGCTGCTGAGCAGGCAAAAGTCGAGGCGTCTGCTCCCATAAAGGTTTACAGTCTTGGAAACCGTAAGGAGCAAGTCACCTCTGTCCTGTAGGGTCACTATAAGGCGGTGGGCTTTTCTGATAGGACTTGGAAGCAAATGCTTTGATTACAGTAAATTATAGCAAAAGTAGAGAAAAGAGAGGAAAGAAAATTTATATTACATATCAAAGTGGGAAGAAATCTCATACTACTCATACTATCAACGGAATTCCTTTTAGTAAAAAAAAAGATGAAAACTTTATGAAGGAAAAAAGCAAAGACCTTACTTAAGTAAGCAACATCTTAGTGTTCCACATGCTGAATACAACCAACTTGCCATGTTCTTACTCAAATGATTTTAAGAAAGACAAACATCTGGCAGCTTCTGATAAACGTCCCCCTATAAACATTTAAATGTATCACAGGATCTATAGCCATCAAAACTACTCATGAAATAATGTAATAATACAGACCAGTCCCTGGAAAAGGACCTCATGCTGGGTCAAGTAAAGGGTCAGTGAGGAAGAGGAGCACCCTGGATGAGGTGGACTGGCGCTGCGGCTGCAACCATGTGGTCACACACAGCAGGGATGCTGAGGATGGTGAGGGCCCGGGAAGGGTTCCGTCTGTTATACCTGGGGTGGCTATGGGTCAGAACCGACTCGAGGGCACCTAATAACAACAACCCACCAGGTGTGGAAAATGAGAGAGGGTGAGAAAGGCTGGTGGAGAACATGGGTCAGATGCAGCAGCATCTTGGGAGTCCAGGGAGGCACAGGAGGCAGGGCAGGATGAAGGTCAGGCACGGTCATCTCACACATGGGGACGAGGGTTCTCATGCCCCTAGATTGAGACAACAGCCTCAACCACACAGTCTCCCCAGCAAAGCCAGACCTCTGACTAGGAAAAGGACCCTTCTTAAATGGCCAAGCCTAGCTGATACTTAGGGCCGTATCTGTTCAGCGGGAGACAAGTCTTTCATTTGAAATAAGAAATGCAAAGCCTTCGTCTGAAAACACCTGGTGTCATTCTCAGGGAGTACGCTACTGACACTGAAGCATCATCAGGCCCCTGGGCACCTCTGCTGACGACGGGGGAAAGGACCTTCTATTCAGAGAGGGGCTTGTCCCCTGGGTCTGCCCATCCTGAGTGGACACACACTCAATGAGGGGCCCGTTCCCCAGATCTGCCCATCCTGAGTGGACACAAACTCTGAGAGGGGTCTGTTCCCCGGGTCTGCCCATCCTGAGTGGACACACACTCAGAGAGGGGCCTGTCCCCTAGGTCTGCCCATCCTGAGTGGACACACACTCAGAGAGGGGCCTGTCCCCCAGGTCTGCCCATTCTGTGTGGACACCCATGTGTGATGGTACCGCTGTCCAAGAATAACATGTCTTTCCTTCCTGTCTCCTCCACGAGAAAGAGGCAGGAAGCGAACCCAGGACCACAAGGGAAGGAGGGACGTGCGTGGTTGTCTCTACGCAAGTGTGTCCAGCAGGTCATGCTTTTCGCACAGACCGAGCACGGCACCCAGTGGCTGGTTCAGGAGAGCAGACCATCAGTCTCTAAATAAACCACCATTCCTACAGGCAAATGCACTTTGATTGCCAAACACCCAAAGAACAAAGATAAAAAGGGGCCCTGGGTACCAGAGGAGTGACAGGAAGCTTCACTCCCACAGTGTGGAATTGAAATGTGTGCTACAACCAAAGTGACCAAAATGTAGAAAACACACCTGATTCCGGAGAGACCATCGAAGGCATGGAGATCTAACACGTTCGTGAGATCAACTCTGCAAGGAAGACGACCAGAGAGGGAGGGGTGAAGCTCTGGGGAACATGCACAGGGGAAGCTACACAACCTTCTGAGATATACAGATTGGTTTAAAAAATTTACCAATAAGTAATATTAACAGGAAAGCCACTTACAACACAGAGCATATTATATTATTTTTTAGAAACAGATTAAGAAAACAAGCAACTATTCATACATTTATATAGAACATCTGTACACAAACATCTACTGTTACATCTGTTCTGTTTGACTCTCAACTGTGCTCTCAGTCTTGGAACTCAATTGAAGAGATTTTCAAATACATTCGTATAGCAAAAAACATCCCCACAAAACAAAACAACCCTTTATAAAGAACGGAGACTGCTCCCAGCAGCAATGAGTTACTATAAAGCCGAGCTGAGGGAAATGGAACCGATGAACATAATGCGCTATCCCAGGAACATCGCCACCGGGGTTCCTGGATTCCTGTACCACACTGGACACCCCATGCCATACACTGGGACACAGTGTAAGAACATGAGGGATTAAGCAACAATGCATAAGAACTCACTCACTCTTGGACCCTTAGTCTCCATCTGAAGAACAGGGGTTCACTTTCTCCCATTCTGAATGGCATTGCACAGAGCAGACTCACCCCAGGTAGTTCCCTGGGTCATCAGGGTTTCGTTAGGACTCGATGGTTCAGTGGGAGAATCTCGCCTGGGTACCATCGTGGTGTGGCACTGTAGAATCAGCACTGGCCTGCTCACTGCAAAGTCGGAAGTTCAAATCCACCAGCCGCTCCTTGGAAACTATACGTGGTCACCATGAGTTGGAGCTGCCTTGACAGCATACAGCCATTGTTGTTGTGGTTGTTAAGTGCTCTTGAGTCAGTTTCCACTCAGAGCAATCCTCTATAGGGTTTCCAATCAGCAGCTGGTGGGTTTGAATTGTCGACCTTGTGGTTCGCAGTCCAGTGGCGATCCTACAGCGCCACACCAGGAGCCCAGCAATAACAGGTGGTGATAACTAACCTTATTAGAGTGAAGAGACCCAACACAAGTAAGAACGGCACATCACAATCAGCATTACGTTTGGGTTGAGCCGCTAATAAAAGTGGGTGACTGAATTCCAATTGTAATCGGAGGGTGCAAATAGCAGGGGTTAGTACGTTCTCTACAACCAAAGTGAAAATGAAGAGCGTATAAAGAAGAGGCCAACACAACGATGAAATTCTAAACACAGGCCCCAGGAGCTTGCCAAACAGTTGAGACATTTTCTCACAAGGGAAACAAATCTGACAAATGTGAGCTTCTCAAAAAGAGACACAAACTCAGGAACTAAAGTCTCTGTGCTAAGTTAGCCAGACCAGCTGTGGCTATCATGTTCTCTGTCAGCATCGGCTGCACACTCACACTTGTGGCAACAACGCCCCCCCAGACGAAAGCAGGTCCTGGCCCAAGACAGACAAGAGTCACGTTCTGTGTCAACAGACTAACCACGTCTCACATGCGAGACATTCTAGAGGCGCAGAATCAGGGATACGATGGAGCAACGAAGTCAATGTTCCATGAAGAAATTTCAGAATATCAATTTACACTCAGAGACCAAAGTTGCCACATGAAGCATCTCTCTATTCTCACCGTCACGGCTGAGCCAGCATTTTGCTTGGCAGGCCACTACCATCTTTGGCTCAGGAAACAGCTTTCAGCGTACCAAAAGTTTACAAGCGCCCACTGTGTGAAGACAAAAAAACATTCTAAAACAGAAGCTTCTAAGTAAAGGAGCATTTCCCCGTGAGCCTCCCTGTCACAGGGTCAGGGACAGCCTTTAAGTTCTTCCAGGTCAGAACACCGCGTCCCTCTGCACCACGCGCAATGAGACAGCAAAGTCTCCGAGCATCTTGTCACAGCTCAGTGGGGAAATCAGGAGTCTGTGTCCTGATGGAAGCTTTTATGAACTTCCCCTCCCCCCTGGAGCTGCCACAGTTGTGAGAAGTGGACAGGCCCATGGCAAGAGAAGGAGCCCCCTAGTGTCAAATCTACCAGCTGGGATGCAGTGGCTTAGACGCTGGACCCACCAGCTGGTCCGCTGGAGAAAGATGAGGCTGTCTGCGCGACAACATGGACAGTCTCAGGAACTTTCAGGCTGCTCTGAGGCAGAATCGACTCGAGGACGTTGGGTTGGGTTGGATTTTTCTTCAGAGGTAAAACATGAGATTTTTCCCCAAATGCTGTAATAATGGAAATCCCCTCCCTCTCAAACTCTAGGAAGACCAGATGGCTGGACACTGGGGGGACAGAAACGTTCTGCCCCAAACGGTGCGCACTCCACACATTCCGGGACCATGTCTGCTTTATAGTAGTGAATTCTTCACAACAGGATGGGAGAACGGCCCACATGGAGTGCACTGCAATCTAAGAAAGGTCTAAATCAAGATGGACCGACACAGAGGATGCTTCACTGGACTCCACACGACAACAATGCTGAGGACGGTGCAGGGCCACACAGGGATTCCATCTATAGTGCACAGAGTCACCAGGAATCGGAAATCGACAAGATGGCACCTAACAGCTATCAAATGTGTCCTGGCAAAGGTGCCATATAGTATTAACATGACAGATTTTGTAGCAACTGTGAAACACTAATTAGGATTTACAAATATTAATGAAGAAGCCACTTAAAAACCTCAAATTAAGATTCCCGATCGTATAGTTTCAGATTTCTATAACGAGCACCTTCTAGAAGAGCTGAAGCTTTCTTTAGCAAAAGGAGTTTTCTCCCTCACGCAACAAAACACAATGAGACAGTGGGATTCTGGCTCCGTCACCTTAGGAAGAAGAACAAATGTGACAACTAAGTATTCCAAGCTCTTTATGGTGGTGTGATGTGCCATGGAGTAGGTGCCGACTCATAGCGACCCTGTACAGGGTTTCCGAGGCTGTAAATCTTTATGGGAGCAGAAAGCCTCATCTTTCTCCCGCAGAACAGCTGGTAGCTTCGAACTGCTGACTTTGCAGTTCGCAGCCTGATTCGTAACCACTACGCTACCAGAGCTCCTTAAGCTCTTTATAATAAAGAAAGTATCAAAAACAACATTCAGGGTCCCATCAAGAAAACAAAAGGACACGCATCTTTCTTATATCCAGAGCCAAGCATACTGGTCAATTACTTAACGTCTATTAGTAGTAATGGGTAAGAGTTAATATCAAGATTAGGAACAGCTATTAAAAAGTACCTTGATCTTTGTGTTTCTAAAATTTTTCCTAGTCCATTTATGGATCTGAAATAAATAAAAAGACAAGAAAAAAGTCAGCCTTTTTAATAAAAATCACAGCAGGCATATTGTTTTCCTTCCTGTCATAACCAGGCCATCTCCACTCACGCTTTGAGACGACATGGAACGTGAAACTCCACCGCACACCAGACAGTTGACAGGCTCTAGGTGCTGCTGAGTGACTTACAGAAGGCCCTTCCCTTTAACCCTCCACTCACGCAGAGCTCCCAGTGCTAAGTGAATAGCTCCACCGCTCTCAGTCTCCTGAAAGCCGATTCCCCCAATGAACTGGGTTAAAGGACTAGACACAGAGGGGACCTGGTGCACGGTGGATTAAGCGCTCAGCTGCCAACCAGAAGCTCAGCAGTTCAAACCCACCAGCCATTCTTTGGGAGAAAGATGCGGCTGTCTGCTTCCATGGCGATGGACAGCCTTGGGGACACTAGTGGACAGTTGCTCTCTGTACTTCAGGGACCTTCTGAGCTGGTGTCGCCCTAACAGCAGTGGGTTTGGTGTTGAACTGGGGATTAGCTGCTAACCAAGTATCTAATTCCCCAAGGGCACTTGAAAAGGGGCCCTTGTGGCCCAATGGATAAGCATCTGCTGCTAAGCAGAATGTTAGCAGTCTGAACCTCTACAGAATAAAGACCTGATGAGGTACACCGAGGGACCAGGCCCAGCCACGGAAGCACCGCCAGGTCTGCTGCCGCCGCCACCATGGAAGTGCAGGTGGAGACTATCTCCCCAGGAGACGGGGGCACCTTCCCGAAGCGCGGCCAGACCTGCGGGGTGCACTACGTGGGGATGCTTGAAGTCGGAAAGAAATCTGATTTCTCCCAGGACAGAAACAAGCCCTTTAAGTTTATGCCAGGCAAGCAGGAGGTGATCCGAGGCTGGGAAGAAGGGGTTGCCCAGATGGTTGTGGGTCAGAGAGTCAAACTGACCATCTCTGGAGACTATGCCTAAGGTCCCACTGGTCACCCAGACATCATCCCACCAAACGTCGTCTTTGACGTGGAGCTTCTAAAACTGGAACAAGTACAGCCTCCTCCCCTCGCTCCGTTCTTGGATCAGCCGCGGAGGGATCTGGCGCCTCTAGACACGCGCACATGACTCCATGACTCCGTGACTCCGTCTGGAGCGTCCCCCGACTCTTTTCTATAAACATTGGCCCTGACTGACTGTGTTCTCCCACTCCGCTTTGCTTCTGGCACCTCCGTTTCCTCTTCCCCTTTCTCCTCGTACGCACGGTGACTTAAACTACATGCCATCCACCTCAATTACTTTTGATTTTGTTCTGCTTTGGGGCTGAAGATCAGTGTTAGTCTTTTGGATCTAGGTTTCCAGTTAAGCATATAATTCAGTATTAACCGCACAATGGGCAAACTTTAGAATATGGATTGATGTGGGGGTAGGAGGAGGGTATAAGTTTATTTTTTTGGATGAAATTTTTATTATCTATTAAAACATCTATGCTGCACTGCAAAGCCATAGCAGATGTGAGGCACTGAGGGCTGAAGTTTTCTCCAAGTTGAGTGATGTCCTTGGGTTGAAACCTGCCCCAAACTGAAGTCCGGAAGCGGAGCGCCTTTGCCTCCCCAGCCCCATTCACCTTCCCCTTAAACCTTCTGCCTTTCCAAAGCAGATGATGTCCACTGTCGTGCTGGACACTACAGGCATCTTCCCCGGGCCAGCAGGGACCTCAGAAGCCTTCTTTGTGGCCTGGTTTGCCTTTCCTTTTTTTTTTTTTTTTTGCCATCCTATGGTTTTTCTAAAAGATTTTCAGGACTTTTGTAATTTGGTAACTATCAAAATTCCACCACTTTCTAAATTTTAAGAACTTGAATTGAAAGTTGAAATGGAAGGTCCTGTTTGTAGACACTTAACACGCAATGAAAGTCCAGCCATCAGGACCAGTCCTGGAGTGTCCTCTGAGGAAATGATGCTGGTCATCGGAGTTTCAGCATCTCCCCCTGCTGATCTCACAGGGTTCCTGGCGTCTCCTCCCCGTCTCCCCCTCGGCTGCCCTGGGTAATGATTTGCTGGGAGAAGTTGCTGCTGCCCCATCCTCCTCGTCCCTTCTTCTGCACCACATATAAAATTCAAGTTTCATTATTGTAATAGCGGTGCTTTATCTGGCTTTTCTCAAAAATAAGACCTGGTGATCTGCTCTTGTAAAACTGACAGCCTAGGAAACCCCACGGGGCAGATCTAATGTGTGTAGAGAATCACCATGGGATAGTCCTACTCTACGTACGGGGTCACCACAGGGCAGTCCTATTGTACCTACGGGGTCACCTACGTACAGGGTCACCACGGGGCAGTCCTATTGTACCTACGGGGTCACCTACGTACGGGGTCACCACAGGGCAGTCCTATTATACCTACGGGGTCACCTACGTACGGGGTCACCACAGGGAAGTCCTACTCTACGTACAGGGTCACTCTGAGTTGCAATGGACTAAATGGTACCCAACAACAACATTCTTTTCACTGAAAATGCGATCCACCATCATGGAGCACACGACCCTTTGTAGAGTCCAAGCGGCGTAAACATTGAACCTATGTAACTCCCAATAGAGGCCATCCGTGAACTGGAGGAATTCCTCAGTGGTTGACTTTCTTTGTCAACCTTGAACCTTTAGTTTCTCAGGATGACAGTCATGGTTAAAATATTTATAGGCACTGCACCCACTTATAATTCCATACCTAATGGTCGTCCTTAATTGGTCTAAATCCTCTTCTGGGACCAAGTCTGTCTTATTGATGATGATGAGGTCTGCCAAAGCCACCTGCCTTAAGACGTAGAGAAAAATCAAACGAGAGACGCTCAGAAATTACGACCCAGTAAGAGCACCTCATTCACAGAAAAATCCAATGAGAGATGCTCAGAAATTATGACCCAGTAAGAGCACCTCATTCACAGAAAAATCCAATGAGAGATGCTCAGAAATTACGACCCAGTAAGAGCACCTCATTCAGGCCAGCACTACCACGTAGGAACCACACAGTGCTCTCTCCTAGGGACTAAGTTTCCTCCTAGCCTGCTGTCATTCTCCAGCTGGTACTGATGAGTCCTACAGATGGGTCTCTAATGAGTTCATGTTTCACACTGGCCGTTCAAACAGTTACTGCTGAGTATCCCTACTTGCAAAGCCCTCTGTGGCTAGCGAGAAGTCCCCCAAAACCCTGACTATCAGAAGGAGGAGAGTTTCTACTCTGGATTTTCTTGGTACAGAAACGCCTACAGTTCACACACACACACACATCTTCCATGGTAGTGCACATGTTCCTATTATCACTTCTGCCTCACTTCTAAAAAGGGCTTACAACTTAAGACAATAGGTCTGGCCAACTGCCCTCCTACGTTTTTTCAAGTGTAGCAACATGGACCACTATAAGCTGGGGT